CCCAGCTCATCCCGTGCCCCCATCACCTCCAGCTGAACCACCCGTCACGAAATGAATTTGAAAGCCTAGCCAACGACTTGCTGATATCCTCGCCAGTAAAGGCAGTACAAACAGTCGCGGTATACCTAATATACCAAAAGGAGTCCAGCTCCCCACTACAGTCAAAGATGAAGCCGACCCCACCAGACTTGAGGGGGAGGACAGAGCCACAGCTTTGCTCACATCCATTGTAGACGATCCCAATGATGCCCTTTGCAATATCGACCTCACTATGGCCATGAACAAAGTCACCGCTGAGTCTGAAGCCCTTGAGCCTACCTCACTGGCTGAGGCTTGTTGTCGGCCAGATTGGCTGCAGTGGGAGGCTGGGATAAGAGAAGAGTTAGCAACGTTACACGTGGCAGGTACTTGGGAACTCATTGACGCACCTCGTGGTGCCAACATAGTTGGATCCAAATGGGTGTTCTGTGCACAAGAAAGACACTGCTGGAAATGTGGTATGGTACAAAGCCCAACTCATCGCTCAAGGCTTCTCTCAAGTCGAAGGCATCAATTATTTCGATACCTTCGCCCCAGTCACAACACTTGCATCCATTCGAACCGTCCTTGCCATGGCAGCATGATCAAACCTGGAACTCCATCAGATTGATATCAAAGGCACATACCTGAATGGTACACTTACCAATGATGAAGTAATCCACATGCGACAGCCCCCAGGCTTCAAATCCACCGATCACCCCAATAAAGTCTGTCACCTCTGAAAAGACATTGTATGGTTTGAAGCAGAGCGGCCGTCGCTGGTACCAAAGATTAGTGGAGATCCTCGTCGATGAGCTGGGCCTTACCCAGTGCTCAGTCGACCAGGCCATCTATTTCAGACGATGCACCACCAGTGAGCTTGTCATTGTTGTCATCCATGTCAATGATTGCACCATCGCCACAACGTCCCTAAACGAAGATAGAGGAGCTTAAGTGCAACGTCAGAAAATACTGTTGAGATTACCGACCTTGGGGAACTTCACTGGCTGCTTGGCATTGAAGTAACCAGAAATAGAGATGAACGTACCATCTCCCTGTGCCAACACCCCTACATTGAGTCCATCATACGACTGCTTTGGCTTTGATAAGCTCAAGCCTGTGTCGAACCCAATGGAACCCAGTACCAAACTGCATTCTGGGCAGTCGCCATCAACTGGTGCTGAATTCGCTATGATGTGCCACGTACCCTATTGTGAAGCCATAGGATCACTCATGTACTGCCTCCCTTGCCACTTCGTCCCTGACATCTCATATGCCATAACGACCATCTCACATTTCTCGGGCAACCCTGGAGTTGCTCATTGGGAAGCTGTAAAGAGAATTTATCAGTACCTTCTCAGGACAAAAGGCTTACGACTCATGTATGGGGGATCACCAAGTGCATTGACCAGGTATGCAGATGCAGACAGCAGCATGGCAGAAGACTGCAGAGTGGTCTCAGGGTATGCTTTTCTAATAGATGGCAGAGCAGTGTTGTGGTCTTCTAAAAGACAGGAAATCATCTTGCTCTCAATGACTGAGAGTGAGTACATGGCAGCCACACACGCAGCCAAGGAGGCCTTGTGGCTTCAGTCGCTCATTGGAGAGCTTTTTCAGCCATTCAGTCGAGCCAACCACGTTGTTTTCCGATAATCAATCAGCCATCGCGCTCACTAAAGACTATCAGTATCACACATGCACCAAACACATCGATATCTGTTTTCACTTCATTTGCCTGGGTCATAGAAAATGGCAAAATTCACCTCATATATTGCCCTGACTGCAGACATGATCACCGATATCACTAACGAAGGTGCTACTGTCTCCGAAGGTGAAACATTTCGTGGTTGAACTCGGCCTACACCCGACTTGAGGGGGAGTGTTAGATTTGGCAAGTCGCTCGTAGCCTTCGTTCACTAATTGACACTACTTTTCCTTACCATGGGAAACACTTCCCATTTACAGGGTCTACAAGACCACTGTACTTAGTTGTTTCGAGCACTGACAATACAGTGTGATAATTTTTGGTTTATTGTCTCCAAATGTTTCATATGTATAATTAACAGTACAAGCACTTGTGCTATGACCGTGCTTGTAGTTTCAATACCAGGTTCAACACCTGTGTCTCACCCTTTTGTTTCATATAGCGTATTTAACTCATTACTGTAGTAACACCACCTCAGACGTCTGCCGCTTGCACACTTGACTGAGGTGGGTATAGTGTCTTGTTCCCATGTTCGTGTACTTCACACTCACATCGTTACCTTAGATCTTGCTATAGGTAATGCGAATACAGACATTTGCTGCTTGTGCACTTGACTGAGATCTTGCTATAGATTTCTGTGACTACCCACTCCGATGCACTGGTCTCAGGGTGTGCACATGCCACAAATAGGCAAAGAGGTCTGTTATCCTCTTCTGCAATGGTTGTGACCTTGGCTGTTAACTCTGTTTTCTCCTTGGATTTATCCTTGCTCCCTTGTGCAGATCCCTGCAGTGCAGCTTTGGCCACTTCATCTGCCTTCTTTTTGTAGCATTCATCCTCTGTATGTCTGGTTTTGCCACAGGGGGCATAGTTACACTTCTTCTTCTTTTTCTTCCTGTCTGTTGCCTTTGACTTTTTACCTGGGTTAGTCTTAGCAGTGAGAGCAGAATGCACTGTTGAAGTTTGTCATGTTCTTTCTTCTACCAGGACTTGGGATATGACAGTCTTGATGGTAAGCTTGTCATTTGAGGACATAAGGATTGTCTGGAGTGTGGAGTACAACTGCAGGAGAGATATCACCATCACAATCACTACCAGTGAGTCATCAAGGGGTTGACCAAGTGACAAGAGGATGTGGGCTTTTTGCTGCATGGCATTCAGCTGTGTTTCCATAGGCTGATCATCAGTGAGTGTGCTGCAAAACAGTTCTCCTATAAGGTAGGCTATGGATTGCTTTCCCTTTCCTTCATACCATTCACTGAGCTTGGTCCAGGTCTCTGCTGCAGTACTTGCATACAGAACACCACTAAGAGGCTCATCCTTGAGCATTAAGGTAATCTGTGTGCATGCTTCCTTGTCTTTGATTTACCATTCCTCATATTGGTCTGGGTTTGTGTTCACATCTGGAGCTTTCTTCTCCATGCCAGCAACTACATTCCAGAGGCCTTGTATACCTAGGACTTTCTGCATTTGAAACTTCCACATTTGATAATTTGCTCCATCATCTGTGAGGGGCATTATATCATAGAGTTGGCTTGAGCCTTGGGTAACCCTAGCACTAGTAGATGCAGAAACTGTTGTGTTCATGCTTGTCAATGGGCCCAGTTGCTGGGACATTGATGCTGACACTCCAGATGACATGTCTGTAAGTTGTTTGGTGGTACCACTTTTGAGTTCATTGATACTGTAAGGTTAGAGCTGCACAGGGCTCATAACCTCTTAAGAGGAGGCCAAAATTAAGACTATAAAGAAGGTCTCAGGCTTCTGTGGTAAGAAGACTGAGGTGCATGAGGAAAAACTAACTGCCTAAGTGCAAAGAATTATTACATAAGCTCATACACCCTAAGCAAATAAACATAGGGGACACATGTTCCAACAAGAACTTCCACAACACCTGTCATGTGGTGGTGATTTGGACTCTCTCATCAATGCCATGTATGGAGACTTGCTGGCCCCTCATCACAATTGGCCTCTGCAGGATCAGTACTTCCTGGACCACACCATTTTATCTTCCAGGAACACTGAAGTCAGGGAGATCAACTCCACCATCCTGGGTAAAGTTCATGGGGACAAGGTTGTGTACAAAAGTGCAGACTCTGTTACTGACAACCAGTATGATTACATTCCAAAGGAGGTGTTGAACATACTAGATCCATCAGGGTTCCCCCTTCATGAGTTGGAGTTGAAGCCTGGTGCTCCCCTCATGCTTCTTTTCAATCTGGATCCTATCCATGGCCTTTATAATGGTACTAGGCTGGTCTTGATCAGAGCTACCCATCATATATTGGAGTGCCATGTGTTGCAGGAAAGGGATGGAGATGCCAACAATGATGTGGTGCTGATTCCTTGCATGGCTTTGGATACCAATCCAGATGACTTCCCAATACCCTTGCATCACCTGCAGTTCCCTGTTCACCTGGCCTATTCAATGACCATTAACAAATCACAAGGCCAGACAGTCCAACATGTGGGCCTTGACCTCAGGACACCTGTGTTCTCTCATGGGCAACTATATGTTGCTCTGTCTAGATGTACCCATCCAAGGAACATCAAGGTGCTGCACAGTGGCCAAGGACACCAAACAAACAAGTCTATGAATGTAGTATTCAATGAAGTTTTGAGAGGATTGCATGTTTAAATGTGTACTATACTATAGACTTGCCTTTTTTAAATTGTATAACTCCTGTCTGCCATCAAATTGCTATGACTACAACTGAATGGCTTGAAGCATTGTGAAAGCAAATGAGATGAAGCTCTTCCTTTGAAAGCTGAGCTGGCATTGGTTAGTTGAGGAGCAATGCTCCTCAGCTGACCAATGCCAGCAGAATGACCATGTAGGGGACCCTGGGGCCAATAGGGCCCAGGGCTAGCGATAGCTAATTAAGTTATGGTGGAAGGGAGGTTATTGACTCGGAAAAAAACCGGAGGATGTCTAATGTAGCACGTGGCAGTAACTTAGGTACAGGTGCCTGTACCACTCGAGAGTTTACAACTCCACACAATAGCCAATCGCGGAAAGCACCCCTGCTAACACACCAACGATGTGGAGGAAATAGTTAGCGGGCAGTTCAAGGTTTATAGGTGTTGGAACTTATCTTCGTCGATTTCACGCCTTGTACACCTCAGCCACAGCCTCGTAGTACCTCAGGCTCAACCACCGATATTCACGGTGACGATCTACCACCAACACTAACTGGCAATGGCGAGGTCTGCCACCAATGTAAACCCGGGTTCCAACACCCGATCGACAGCGTACAACGGGACTATATATTAGTAGGACGCATATACGGTCATCAGTACTGTCACAAGGAACATAAAATAGGTCGGAGAGTCGTGTGTTTATTGCGTTTGCAACACAGAACAAGTACACAATGCCAGGTATGTGGTAACTGTACCGTTGCTACGAGTCGAAAGGTTGCTCGAATAGAAATTCGAATAAGGACTCGAGGAACTGCCTGTTCTCAGGTTGCTCGTCAACTGGTACGGCCATTATTGCCTCTTTAAGTTCCTCCTGAGTGGCACGGTGGGTGACATCCCTAACGTCCGCTTTCTTTCGTACATAGATATGAGAGAACAAGTACATCAATTCCTCGACAGAAGGAGTATGCGACTGTCGACGTTCTTTGAGTTTGTTCTTGACGCGTCTTGCCAATTTGGGGAGTGGTAGATGGGACGCACAGAGTCTCTCCCATGATTTCTTGCCAAAACAACGAATCATCTTTTCTTCTGCCATGTCTAGTAGGATGCCGTGATGGAATGGCACTAGGAATGAAATAGCCTGACGGAGAGATCAGTCAAGAAACGCTCTACATGGGTCAGAACCAATTACCCGGCACAGGTCGTCGGTCGCATTGGTATATTTCCTGTACCTCTCGTCGACCTGAACCTTGAGGGTTGCTATGGCACGACCCAACTCCGACTGCTCCTTCCGTATTTCGCTGTGTACTCTTTTCAAGTCATTGATCGACTTCTTCGTTCTATCGATGCTTCTTCTAAATTCATCGTCCAACTTCTTCATTTCACTGCGATGGCGTTCCTCATGCCTCATCTCAGCCAACCTGCATTCCATTGTAGTAAGTCTCGACCGCAACATTTCTGTAATGCCACAGTTAGTCCTAGCAGATAGCAACAATATAACGGAAACTAACCATCACTACAGTCTCCCAAAGATCCATCCTCAGGACAATCTCCAGCATCTTTCGTCTTTGGCTCAATGACGACATGCATCATTTTATCCTCCTCATCTAGGCCACAGTCAGCTGACAACTACCTGTGGTTTACACTGACGGGCTCACCAAAAAAATGTTCACTTTTGAGCATGTCTGGTCTCACTGGGACCACAGAGTCGCCAGTTGAATTCACTGCTGATGCTTGCACCGTGGGTTGAAGACCGCCAGGGGTGTGTGCAGGAAACAGATATTCCAGATCCATAATACGAATTTCAGGGTGGTTAAACATAACACGTATTCTCGAAAGCCTTGACATGGCCAGTACCATGATTGAGAAATCGAAGAGGGAAGGACCCCGCGCAGTGGTCTATAAGTCCTAGGGGAAAAAAGGGGTCAGCTGCTGAGGCGCCTTGCTTACGTCAGCTGACATGAAGGCAACTTCGCACCAGTACTTGCACACACAGCCACTGAGCACTGAGCGTCTGCGAAACATACTCAATCCCGACTGCCCTCCCACTGTTTTATGCCAACGAGACCCGCACATTCATCCCGGAAAGAAGAACAGATCAGTACTAGAACATATTTACATCCTTTTCTGACACAGACCCTTCAACATGGAGAACAACGCGAACAAAAAGACCGTTCAATTCTGCTCGGACTTCCTGTCGAATCACTTACACACGTCACTTCGTATCTCACTCCGCCCTCACTCATCGCCCTCGGCAGCACTTGTAGGCGCTTGCACGGCCACGTAAACGATGACAATACGTGGTATCGTGCGTTCCTTACTCAGGTAGTCGGTGCCCATCCAGAACGCCCCCTCGACGAAGGAAATGTTATTCTGTTGAGGAGGGTAGCACGTACCTGGAGGGCGGAGTTTGTGTCGAGGTACATGCTCAGACAGTGCGCTTCTCTTCCTTGGTCGCATATTTTTTCGTTGACAAATGTATGGTGAATCGATAGGCAGTGGGAGCGTGCCCGCACACCGTGTATCACTCACACGCCTCAGGACACGACCGTTGACAGCATCTACCTCGTCTCGCCGTATATCCAGTCTTCCCTATTCCCCCACTTCCCCTACTCCAATCAGCGCGATCAGCCTGCAGGGCCTGGGCCAGCACTTCTGACCATATCCCTCCAATACGGAACTATCGCACGCTCCTTCCCGCTCACGGGGAAAGTCCTCAAAGGATACCTCGATCCATCGGGCACTGGTCCTGGGATTGGGAATCCGAATGCCGAGTTCACACCCGACGTTTCGGCATGTGAGATCATGTCTTCATCTTCTTCCGAGTCTAAGGGAAGCGTGAGCGTAGTTTGGGGTAAACGCAATGGCGAAATTCTCCTCACTACCACCAGCAGGGCGTTTGTGCCCGCATCGGGTTTCACGACTTCCAGTGTGGTGCGGTGCAGCGTCCAAGATTTGCACCATGGCGCCGTGAATAAAATCGTCATCGATTCGCTCTCGAAGACATTCCTTTCGGCTGGAGGAGACGGAAGAGTGAAATTATGGAGCTGGGATCGACAGAACCTGAACTGCTTGTGGACTTCTGAGCAAAGCCGGGTGTCATTGGTTCCAGATGGAATCGTTGGCCTGGCAGGAGGCTTGAGCTCTGGCGTGATCGTAGGAGTGCTGGCTAGTGGCGATATTTGTGTGTGGTGGGTTCCGTCTGTGATTGATGTGGGTACGGCCGCTATTGCACTCCCCGAACTGAGGATCGGTGATCCGACAAAGAGTGGCGGAGGTCAGGGACAGTCGGACGCAGGTCATGCTCTGAGCAGACAAACCCCAAAACTCAAAGCTATACATATTCTGCGCGGTCCTCGTTACTCGTCCACCCCACCTAATTCTCCGTTGTCGCCGTCTGCCGCAAGTTCTCAACCGAACGACTTTGTTGATGTCTTACACCTCCCACCCCTTCCTTTACCTCCTTACAGTGACCTCCACCGACACACTTGGGATCACGCAGTTCGGAGACGGAGAGTGTGGGTGCTCCCTTTCTGCCCTCGAGGTCGTGAGTTCTGTTGTGGAGCCTACCGTATGCTCCCCTCGGCCTGCTCCCTCAAGAGAGGGAAGCGGGGGACGAACGAGAGAGCGAGAGTTCGTGATTGCAGGTGATTGCATGGGGTTCGTCAGCTTTTATGATATCGACGCGCCTGCTACCCCTGCGGCGTCATATAACTCAACATCCTCGCCAACGTCGATCACGCCAGCAACATTGTTGCGCGTATCGACACCCAAACACAAATTTTCGGCCCACACCGATGGATCTATCACATCTATTGCATGGACCGCATATGTGTTTGTGACAGGCTCGCAGCGAGGGAGCGTGGCTGTTTGGGATAGCATTACTTTAGAAGAGGTGAGGAGGTTCGATTCCTTGCAGTTTTCTCATCGCCCTACTCGTTTCCCTCTTCTTGCCCCTCCTGCTCCGGACCTTGGGGATGGGGGTGGGGGTGGGAATGAGAATGAGAATGCCGAAAGAGCAGATGCGGAAGGAGATGGAGATGGCGTGAGCAAGATACTCATTGAGAATCAGATGGTGGTGGTTGTTCGAGGGAATAGAGTTATGACGTGGCATGCCGGGGACATGAGACGTCTAGGGAAGGCAAGATGTCATGTGCGGGGGAAGAAAGTCAATCAGGGGAAAAGGATGGAAAGAGGGGTTGCGAAGGGACTGGGTACGTTCCTTCCCCTTTTTGTAATGGTGCGATCTTAATGCTTGTGCTGGGCAGACCAATATGATTTCCAAATGTCCATCGCAGACTCAATCAGTGAGATCACGCATGAAAGGGAACATGCGGCATACGAGAGGGAGCGGATGATGCGCACTATAGGGAGGGTTAGGGAGGAAAGAGAAGGACTGGAAAACTTGGGGTTGGACGAGACTGAGGCTGTCGAGTATGTGATGTGGCTGTCGAGGGAGGAGTCTGTGAAGGAGGTGGGGGAGAAAGTTGAAACTAAGGCTGGAGAAGAAGTTCATGAAGGCGACCTCGAAAATTTACTTGGTGATACGTTCACTCCCGATATGGGATCAACGTCAGAGAGGGCAGCACAGGCGATATCGTCCTTGGCGGAAGAAGATTTCCTACCTGTCCCTCGGAGGAGTGCAAGTGAATCACCCACACCAAGTAACTCCTCACCATCAACTTCACTGTTAGATTCGGAATCTGGGTCGGTGTGGGGATCTGTGTCAGCCCATCTGTCGTTCCCGACTCCGAGTCTTGAACGCGAACGTCGCCAATCGCGATCAGTGTGGGGGAGTGGACAAGGGGCGTCGTCATCTGGCACTAGCGCATCTGTTTTGGCCCCTGGATGGGGGGATGACGATGACTTGAGGTTCGCAATCGAGTTGAGTCTTGCTGAGGCTCAGAGTCGCGGAGACGTTTTGTGAGTGTGCCCTTAGACTATGGTACGGGCGAATAGGGCAAGTGTGCTTCCCCGACTTATCGTCATTTTTTCTTCTTCTATGAATCCTTTTCTTTTTTTCTTGTATGCGAGCCACTCGGTATCGACGTAGAATGGGAGTATTATTGTCTGTGTAGTGTAAATAACCGTCGTTCGTGTTTGAACGCTGGAACGTATATATAGCAACAACGCCGAAAACCCGTGAAACATGTTGAAGCTGTAACCTTCCGTACTAAGTTACCTGCCCAAGATCAACTGAGACGCCACGGGGCCCTACGGTAGTATCTTCTGTCTTGCCCATGGGTCAGACTGAGCTGGATCCGGTACCTCTGTGAGAATGTAGTCTTGCGACCTTCGTAAGTGTAACAGTGTGTTGGCCTACATATCGATTCAGCTGGCATGCACTTTCAAGTTGCTGCAACCTAAGTTAAGATCCTGTGTGTGGTGCCTTCGCACGTCTGCTGGATCTTATTATAAGGGTGCTCCAACGTTCGAAGGGGCCTGCAACCGCCCCGTCAGGACACTCGTAGATGCAAATACACCTTCGATATCGCAACCCGCATCGCCCGTACCAGCCGTCGGCTTCCCGGGCTTCGAAGAGTTACCAAGCGCTGAGTAAATTACCGTCACCGACCGCCAGCAATTAATTCCTGCTCATGATCAATCTGCTAGGATCGCATCCAATTCTTCGCAGGCTCAATTTTACGACGCGGGAGATGAGCGCTTGAGCCCTCAACGCGATCTACAACGTGTATACTGGTGGAGTCCCTTACGCACTCTGAAGAGTCACCAGGTCCTAGGTGAGTTTCCAAAAACCTTGCTCACGCCCGTAGCTAATTGATGCCAGGATATCGCCTGATCTTCATCTCCGAGCATGGAACATGGGTTCCTCTGGAGCACTCGGACGGGTAGCGAGCCTGAAATGAACATCAGAAGCGGTGCTCCCTCTGGCTTTGAGGAGCTGTCAAGTCCCGAATGGGTCTCCAGTACCACTAACTCCCCACCGTTTTCGCTCGTGGTTAAGTTATGGCAGGCAGTATTCAATCCTCCACCGAGTTACCTGGGTTCTGCTCACCTCCGCCAGTGGTGGACCTTCCAGTTTTTGAACAGCTGCAGCCTTCTGGGCGGATCTCCCTTGCCGGCTTCCCAACGGTCATGCGTACAACTCATCTACGCAAGGAGAATTAGCGATGTTACGCTAGATAACATTGAACAGTACGTTCTGAAGTGGCCGGGACCTGATGTTTTCAGCGAACTCCATGCGTTTACTTACTTGACACTCGGTTCTAATGTTCCCGAGGACATTTTCGTACGCTGCCACGCTCTGAGGTTGAAATATTGTGGTGCAAATCGCAAGCACAGCCCCACTTATGCTGATGATCGTGATCTGCTCGCGAGGAGGGTAACGGATATCAAGTTCTGCATCACAGAAATCTATAGCAAGATCTCAGTTGAGTGTGCGAGTGGCAAACATCTATATTCGCATTACCTATAGCAAGATCTAAGGTAATGATGTGAGTGTGAAGTACACGAACATGGGAACAAGACACTATACCCACCTCAGTCAAGTGTGCAAGCGGCAGACGTCTGAGGTGGTGTTACTACAGTAATGAGTTAAATACGCTATATGAAACAAAAGGGTGAGACACAGGTGTTGAACCTGGTATTGAAACTACAAGCACGGTCATAGCACAAGTGCTTGTACTGTTAATTATACATATGAAACATTTGGAGACAATAAACCAAAAATTATCACACTGTATTGTCAGTGCTCGAAACAACTAAGTACAGTGGTCTTGTAGACCTGTAAATGGGAAGTGTTTCCCATGGTAAGGAAAAGTAGTGTCAATTAGTGAACGAAGGCTACGAGCGACTTGCCAAATCTAACACTCCCCCTCAAGTCGGGTGTAGGCCGAGTTCAACCACGAAATGTTTCACCTTCGGAGACAGTAGCACCTTCGTTAGTGTATCGGTGATCATGTCTGCAGTCGGGCAATATATGAGGTGAATTTTGCCATTTTCTATGACCCAGCAAATGAAGTGAAAACAGATATCGATGTGTTTGGTGCATGTGTGATACTGATAGTCTTTAGTGAGCGCGATGGCTGATTGATATCGGAAAACAACGTGGTTGGCTCGACGAATGGCTGAAAAAGCTCTCCAATGAGCGACTGAAGCCACAAGGCCTCCTTGGCTGCGTGTGTGGCTGCCATGTACTCACTCTCAGTCATTGAGAGCAAGATGATTTCCTGTCTTTTAGAAGACCACAAAACTGCTCTGCCATCTATTAGAAAAGCATACCCTGAGACCACTCTGCAGTCTTCTGCCATGCTGCTGTCTGCATCTGCATACCTGGTCAATGCACTTGGTGATCCCCCATACATGAGTCGTAAGCCTTTTGTCCTGAGAAGGTACTGATAAATTCTCTTTACAGCTTCCCAATGAGCAACTCCAGGGTTGCCCGAGAAATGTGAGATGGTCGTTATGGCATATGAGATGTCAGGACAAGTGGCAAGGGAGGCATACATGAGTGATCCTATGGCTTCACAATAGGGTACGTGGCACATCATAGCGAATTCAGCACCAGTTGATGGCGACTGCCCAGAATGCAGTTTGGTACTGGGTTCCATTGGGTTCGACACAGGCTTGAGCTTATCAAAGCCAAAGCATCGTATGATGGACTCAATGTAGGGGCGTTGGCACAGGGAGATGGTACGTTCATCTCTATTTCTGGTTACTTCAATGCCAAGCAGCCAGTGAAGTTCCCCAAGGTTGGTAATCTCAACGTATTTTCTGACGTTGCACTTAAGCTCCTCTATCTCGTTTAGGGACGTTGTGGCGATGGTGCAATCATTGACATGGATGACAACAATGACAAGCTCACTGGTGGTGCATCGTCTGAAATAGATGGCCTGGTCGACTGAGCACTGGGTAAGGCCCAGCTCATCGACGAGGATCTCCACTAATCTTTGGTACCAGCGACGGCCGCTCTGCTTCAAACCATACAATGTCTTTTGGAGGTGACAGACTTTATTGGGGTGATCGGTGGATTTGAAGCCTGGGGGCTGTCGCATGTGGATTACTTCATCATTGGTAAGTGTACCATTCAGGTATGTGCCTTTGATATCAATCTGATGGAGTTCCAGGTTTGATCATGCTGCCATGGCAAGGACGGTTCAAATGGATGCAAGTGTTGTGACTGGGGCGAAGGTATCGAAATAATTGATGCCTTCGACTTGAGAGAAGCCTTGAGCGATGAGTTGGGCTTTGTACCATACCACATTTCCAGCAGTGTCTTTCTTTGTGCACAGAACACCCATTTGGATCCAACTATGTTGGCACCACGAGGTGCGTCAATGAGTTCCCAAGTACCTGCCACGTGTAACGTTGCTAACTCTTCTCTTATCCCAGCCTCCCACTGCAGCCAATCTGGCCGACAACAAGCCTCAGCCAGTGAGGTAGGCTCAAGGGCTTCAGACTCAGCGGTGACTTTGTTCATGGCCATAGTGAGGTCGATATTGCAAAGGGCATCATTGGGATCGTCTACAATGGATGTGAGCAAAGCTGTGGCTCTGTCCTCCCCCTCAAGTCTGGTGGGGTCGGCTTCATCTTTGACTGTAGTGGGGAGCTGGACTCCTTTTGGTATATTAGGTATACCGCGACTGTTTGTACTGCCTTTACTGGCGAGGATATCAGCAAGTCGTTGGCTAGGCTTTCAAATTCATTTCGTGACGGGTGGTTCAGCTGGAGGTGATGGGGGCACGGGATGAGCTGGGGCGATGTGTGGAGGCGTTGGAATTTCTTTTGTCTTTGGGACGGGAGCTGGAGGTGTTAGCATCACATTCAGTAAGTAGCTGTCTTCTTCCTCCCCCTCGTGAGGTAATGACTCAGCTGAGGAGGGATTCCAATATACATTCCTTTTGACGGTAACTGACTTCTTTTCAGGCCAGTACACGCAACAGCCATTGGGGCTGTTATCATCGATCCCAACCCATCAGCCCTCCACAACATGCCCTCCAAGTTTGGTTCCACCCTCGATTCATACCCAGACACTTGAGCCCCACATGTGGGCTCGACTGAGGTCTGGTTTCTTCCCGGTCACAGCTTCAAGGGGCATCCCACCGTCAAGCGCTCTGGTGGGAGTCCTGTTCTTTAGCCAGACAGCGTGGCACACCACTTCACCCCATAGAGTGCAAGGCAAGCTGCTCTCATGCAGCATGGCATGAACTTTTTCAAGCAAGGTGTGATTGAGATGCTCAGCAACTCCATTGTGTTGTGGGGTATCATGTACGGTGAGCTTCTGTTTCGTTCCAGCTGCCTTGAGGTACATCACAAATTCTTTTCCGAGGTACTCGCCGCCTTGATCGGAATGGAGGGTCTTCATGCGAGTGTTATGCTGGGTGTGACACCAGGCCTCGAAATCTTTGTAGGCTGTGAAGGCTTCACTCTTCTGGCAAAGGAGATGAATATAGGTGAGTTGCGTCTTATCGTCAGTGAAGGAAATGTAGTACCACCGACCACTGAGAGTTTCTATGGGTGCGGGTCCCCAGATGTCACTATGTACTTCTTCAGCAAACTTGCAAGCTCGTTCTCTGATGCGTTCCTTCGTGACAGGCTTCCTGGTTGCCTTCGCATATACACAGGCTTCACAGAAGGTCAGCTCATCTTTTGACAAGTTGAACTTCAAACCTGATACAAGTCCCTTTTCAGCTAGGCGATGAGCGACAGACGGAGAAATGTGTCCCATCCTACAGTGAAGTTCCATCACAGTTATTGATTCAGCTGCTGTGTTTGCACTGTTGCGATCGTCGTTGTGGACGACATGATAGAGCCTGGCTTTAGACTTAGGGATGCGACCAACAACATCATTGGCAGGGTTCCTGATGGTACAGGTACCTTCAGCGAAGGTGACAGAGTAGCCTAGCTGGTCAAGGCAGCTGACAGACACGAGGGTGTATCCGACCTCAGGTGAGTATAGTACTTTGGTGAGTCACAGTTTAGTTACATCGTACCCATTCGGCACCTCTATGACTAACTCCCCCATAGCCATAGCATCAAAGAGTTGTTTGTTGGCAGCCAAGAATGACTTGGGTGGTATCATCACCAACGTCTCGAACTTCTCCTTGTAAGGGGAGATGTGTCAAGTGGATCTGGAATCATAGAGTTCAATGACAGGTGTACCAATGGGGCTGTCATTTATGAGGTTCGCGAACTCTGGGGAGGTGTTAGTGGGCTCGACATGATTTGAAGCATCGCCATGGGGTGAGTGCTCGTCATCCACATCCCCCATCTCGCTGAACCAGTCTTTGTTGGTGGTGATGAAGCAGCGTCGATCAACATCATCGTCGTCTGACAATACGCTCAGCAAGTCAGGGAGCAAACCCTCATTGTCGAGTTCATCCAGGGCATGCACCGAGAAGGCACCCTCTTCATCAGAATCAAGTGTTACAGCATGCACAGATCCCTTGGTGGCAGCAGGTAAGCTTTCTTTCTTTGTTTTGTCAAGATCAGGACATTGAGATTTGTAGTGTTCCCTCAACCCACAGTTCCAGCAGGGGCCTCGCTGGCAAGCATGCCCTCTGGAGCTACCCCCTCGACTACCATTTCTTCCATTTCCTCTCCCCCTTCTGAAAGAATTTCCAGGGGTCAATGACATGGCTTCGTTGCCATTGCGATTCTTGGCTTTGGATCGTGCATGCCAAGTCTCTTTGTGACTTTTGCACTCAGACTCTTCAATGATCAAGGAGATGAGAACGTCGGGGTCGATAGTTTGTGTCAGGCTGTACAGGCGTGCAGTTGCTAGCTGTCCAGATGCAAAGCTGGCAAGGTACTTAGGCAGTGATTGGATGATGGTCGAGCGGTAATCCTTTTCTTTGATCTGTATGCTGACGGCAACTAACTCATCTCTCTTTGTATGCAGATTGTCCAAGAACTGGCGGATGTCACTGTCAACAGGGCACTGCAAGTTTAGAAACTTCGTGTGAAGGTCAGTCTGTGCATAAGCACCCTTCTCCGTGTATTCACGAATGATTTCATTCCACATAGCTGCAATGCTGTTAAGGCTATGCACCCAGAGTGCAGTGGAATCAGGGATCCATTGGGTAAGTAAGTGTTTCACCATATTTTCGCTTTTTTGTCACTTAGTGAGTTCATCAGCATCGGGAGGGACTACAGGTTATGAATCCATCCTGATCAGTGGAGGTCATGCCGACAGGGCAAGGAGAGGTGCCATCGAAATGGGACCACAATTCCTTAGCTTTCGACGGTGGTCTGGAAGCGAAAGGGAGAAGATTGCCCAGTTTGCACACTTTGATGTCAAGTTTCAGGACATTGCCCAGGGAGTGTGTCGGTGGTGACAGGGATGGCAGTAGTCATTTGTGGGGGGGGGGACGAGGGTCAGTTGGCAGCAAGAATATCGAAAACAATGGTGAGATGTTGTATAGGCTATTAGAGCTCAGGGCTCATAACCTCACAGAAATCTATAGCAAGATCTCAGTCGAGTGCGCGAGTGGCAAACTGTCTGAGGTGGTGTTACTACAGTAACAAGTTAAATATGCTATACGAAACAAAAGGGTGAGACACGGGTGTTGAACCCGGTATTGAAACTACAAGCACGGTCATAGCGTGAGTGCTTGTACCATTAATTATACATATGAAACATTTGGAGACAATAAACCAAAAATTACATGTGCTGTATTGTCAGCACTCGAAACAACTAAGTACAGTGGTCTTGTAGACCCAGTAAACTGGTAAGTGTTTCCCACTGGTAAGGAAAAGTAGCATCAATTAGTGAACGAAAGGCTACTGAGCGACTTGCCAAATCTAACACTGCACACCCTCAATTGTTCGTGCTCAAGGCATACCATCTGTTATGGTTGCCCACAAACTATGTAGGCAGTGGGACGAGAGAGAGATACGCAAGTGGTTCCACGCCCAGCACGAGACAAAGAGGGACATGGTTAGATGGCATTTCACGGAGCTTAGGATTCCCACACCGGTAACACATTACTTCAAACGTTATACCACTTCCCTTGGACGCTGTTCAGGATTGAGCGGCGTGTTCCAGAGCAACTCTAACAGACTCCGTTGCTAGAAGGAGTATCAAGTAAGTTACAAATAGACTGCTCTGCAGCAGAGGACTGTCGGATGGTTGGAGCAGACTCCATGCTAGCTTTCATGCGAGTAGCGCAATTTGTTGTTTAAAGCAAATGTAGAATTTGTTACGGTATGGAGTAGTTGTGTTTGGTACGTATGATGACATCCGCCTCTCTGAGACACTCACGATCGGCCGCAAATGGTGGAGCTGGAGAAAAATCCGAAACAACTATTACACCGTATTGCTTGGTTTCTCGGTGCTTGTACGTGACGCTGGAGTTTGGTGCGGGGGATTTCCCGAAAGTTCACGAGGTTTGGAGAATTCTGAGGAGACATACGTTCGGCAGCCACGAAAACTTCATGGTTCAGCGACTGCTACTTACTAGGAGTTGATTCCAGCAGTGGTTGCGACATGTCAAGACGAAGGCTTATCTATGAGCGTCAAAAGTGTCAACAGCGATGGAGCGATGGAGCGATAGGTGGTGGCTGGGATTGTGAACGAGTGATACGTACAATTCGAGGACCGAGCTAGATTGGACCTTAAATGAGTCGGGTGAGGGGACAGAATTGTCATCACGCCAGAACCAGTACAAAAATAGTCACTGGAACTGCAGGCAGTGGCGCCGTTACGATGTGATGGCACAATAGTGAGGTGACGAGATGAACCTCGCACGTTCGGTCGTAAGGAGTCGGAGTTGGATTTGTCTGCATTTGATTGAGTCCGTAGCCGTGAGTGCTGGTAAGAAACGGCCTGTGTACGTTGCTTGCCAAACGGCAACAAAATTGCGAGTCCATCGAAGCCCGGAAGGCCAGGTGGTTTGTGGCCAAAATTACTGTTAGTGCAATCGCATTTCTCGCGCTGCATTCGCGCCAGACGTGGCGCGGAATGGTTTCAGGGTAAACGATCTGGCTGAGATGGAGAGGCCTGATTCCTGGAGCGGATAAAGAATCCACTGGAGGTGAGCTCTATCTGTGTGCATACACCCAACGTGCAAGGGTCGATATGACGTCAGGCCGGAGGGTACAAGTCCCGGTGCAGAAGATTACGTAAGCACACCCGTTCTGACTGGCGATCACGCGTGCCGGTGGCGGGAAATGTGCCAGGTACGACGACTAGACCACGAGGCTCTATGATCTTATCATCAGTTGCGCTTCAACAGCTGAGAGTGCGATGTCGTACTTGCACGTTGCGCAGGTTATTACACAGGCACGGGTGCAGCGGCGATGCCCGAATGGCAAAATCAACTCACTGGCAGGAATGGCGAAAATCGCTCTGTTGTACGGCTGTCATGGAGAAACCGACCGAAAGATAAGGCGAACGAGATAATATAAAAAGGCGACTCAACTTCCCAATTGCATCTCACACCCGTCGTTGGGATGGAAAAGACGTTGAGCAAGTCGACGGAGAGAGAACGTCCACAGGGATATGGCATTCAGATCGGGTGCGTCGCCAGCCTACAATAGCGTCGCTGGTTGCCATCACCTGAGCTTCTTTCTATAGCTACCGTACGCTATCGATTCGCGTCGATGAGCGACAGCTTCCTCAGAAGCCAAAGAAGTCCAAGGATCCTACTGATGCCATCGCAGCGATCGATGTCCACCTCATCCCATCAGATCAGGTCTACAATAGGTACTCGTGCCACCCCACCGTCGGTCTCGAAGCGGCAGCTGTACAGAGAAAATTGAAATCCGATGGAAAGAACATCATCAGCTCTCCTCCGACGAAGTACTGGCTCAAGGCATTGAACTATGTCTTCGGTGGTTTCAACTTTCTCATGTGGATCGCCTTCGTCGTCACCATCGTATGTCCCGCTTGACCGTCGGTCCTTAGTCCCCTACTAACCATGTCCAGCTGTCGTACAAACCACTCGGTCAACCCCCGCTCGTATTTAACCTTGGTGTCGCCACCCTCCTCGTCAGTCCCTTTTGTCCCTTTCCGTGCACTCACTCATCCCACCTCTCGCCCAGATGATCGTCATCATCGTCTCAGCCACATTCTATGCTCTTGTCGACTGGAACGCCAGCAGGATCATGAAATCCATCAAATCTCTCATTGCAGAAGAAGCTTCCGTCATTCGTGAAGGCAAGCAACAGCTCGTACCTGCCAATGACATTGTCGTTGGAGACATCGTCGTCCTCTCCACCGGCGAACGCGTCCCCGCCGACTTGCGCATTGTGCAAATGTCTTCCGACCTCAAGTTCGATCGTTCCTTGTTGACTGGCGAGAGGTGCGTCCGTCCCTACGTCCGTACCACCCTCGAGGCTGGGTTAACATTTTCCTTAGTGATATGGTCCCTGGCTCTCTCGACTCCACCGCAGATAACGCTCTCGAAACCCGCAACCTCGCGCTCACCTCCACGTTCGTCACGCAGGGCACTTGCCACGGCATCGTCTTTGCCACCGGAGACAGAACCGTCATGGGTCGCCTTGTCTCAATGTCCGGGGAAACCAAGTTCAAACTTACCACCATCCAAAAAGAGATTTGGTTCTTCACGAAAGTCATCTCAGCCGTCGCTTTGAGTTTGTTCTGTCTCAGTTTATTGTTGTTTGGCGTGTGGTTGAGGACGAGTTATCCGGGATATGATACGGTGTCGATCGCGATCGTTAATTCGATTGGGTGTTTGACAGCGTTCGTGCCGCAGGTAAGCATCACATCCTTCCTGTCTCATTCGCCGAAACTGATGCAATCATACAGGGCCTCCCTGTCTGTGTCGCGCTTTCTCTCACAGTCATCGCCCGGCGCATGTCTAAGCGCCACGTCCTCGTCAAAAATCTCGCCACTATCGAAACATTGGGATGTATCTCCGTATTATGTTCGGACAAAACGGGGACATTGACCGCTGGAAAGATGGTGCGAAGTGTTCTCACGTCACTTCACCGTCTCACTCACGAAAAAAATGTTCTGCAGGCTGTCGAGTCCGTCGCGTTCCTGGATGCCGCCTACAGCGCTAAAGATTTTATTGCGAACTTTACCGATGCACTTTCATGCACCATTGCGCCGACTTCCACTGGATCTGCCTCGCAGACGCGTTCGCCCTCTCCGCTCACTTCTTTCTCCTCCAACCCTGTCCACGTTCTTCATGCCATTACACGTCTCTGTAACGGGGCCAAGTTTGCTTCGTCTCATGATTCTTCTACGAACGAAAAATCTACCCCAGACTCAGAGCCTACGATCAAAGGAGACCCCACTGACACTGCCATCCTCAAATTTGCAACCTCGCTCTCTGCCGTGGATAGCACGGCAAGGGAGAATTCGGGGAAGTATGTCAAAGCATTCGAGATCCCGTTCAATTCGAAAAATAAGTGGATGATGACCGTTGTGCGAGACACTTCTGTTGCCGCAATGGTGGACGAGGTGGGAGACGCCGCAATCGAGAAGAAAGAATCTCGGAAACGCGAACCAGACGTAGTACCAACACAGGAAGGAACATGGATGTTCGTCAAAGGCGCCCCTGACATCCTCTTCCCAGCCTGCGGGACGGTGATGTTGTCGGACGGATCGGTTATCCCGTTTGGGGAGGCTGAACGAGAGAGGCTTGGTGCGATGCAGAGCGAGTGGTCTTCCGAGGGACAGAGAGTATTGGCTCTGTGCGTTCGTTACTATACTTTTTGCTCTTCGTTATTAACATGCTGTCGATGGGGAACATGGAAAGATGTCAAAAACCACTTCCGCTATTCAAATCTTCCCTTCCACCTTCCGATCTCGAGGAAAGTCTCTACAGCGATCTCCATTCCCTCACACTCGTTGCGCTCGTTGGGATTCGTGATCCTCCCCGTGAGGATGTCCCGTCCGCGATCGAGGTGATCAGGAGGGCAGGTGTGAGGGTTTTCATGGTTACTGGAGATTTCAGGTTGACGGCCGTGGCTATTGCGAGGCAGGTGTGTCTAGCTTCCCCTCTTTTCTCTTCTGGACTGCGGAAATGCTGACAGGATAGGCGATAGGTTGGGATCGTCACTCAACAACAGATCGACACGATCGCAGATGTTCGATCACCTGTTCTGTCAGGGAAATTCCCTTCCGGCACCATCCCTGCACCTCTGATCAAACCGTCCCCCGACGACCCCATCCGTTCGCTTGTTCTAACAGGCGAGGATGTCACCTCCCTTACACCTCACGACTGGGATATCATCCTCTCTCACTACACTGAACTCGTTTTTGCACGCACAACGCCTGACCAAAAAATGAAAATTGTTGAGTCGATCAAAGCGCGCGGCGATAATACCGTTGCCGTCACAGGTGACGGTGTCAATGACGCCCCGGCGCTCAAAGCGGCGGACATTGGCGTGGCCATGGGTGCTGGAAGCGATGTCGCAAAGGAAGCTGCGGCACTGGTATTGTTGAAGAATGATTTTGCGAGTATTCCAGTAGCAATTGAGATGGGAAGATTAGTATTTGATAATTTGAAGAAGGTAACGTTGTACCTGATGCCTGTGAGCTGCTTTCCTCCTCTTTTCCTCGACTTCGCCGGATTGACGACCTATTGGAACCTGGCAGGTTGGGTCGTACACGGAATTCATGGCCGTGCTCTCCAACGTTTTACTTGGCATGCAAATCCCGCTTTCATCTTACCTCCAAGTCTGCTTCTCGATTACCAATGACGTTGTCATGTCCATTTCGCTGATGTATGAAAAAGCCGAGGCTGGTACGTCGATTGGTTTATGTTTTTGACTCGATGATGAATTAACTGATTGGTATGATCAGACCTGATGTTGAGGAAGCCGCGGAATGCACGCACGGATCGATTGACAGATTGGAGGTTGTTCTTCCAAATCTATTTGGTACATTCCTTCAAACCTCGGTCTTCCCTCACGTGCTGTATTGTCTAACTTCTATGCTATGAACGCAGTTCCTTGGTCTCATGGCATGGCCTTGTGCTATGTCCATGTGGTTCGTCTACATGCGTCAGCAGGGACTCGGATTTTATGATGTTATATTGGTGTATAACAAGTGGTCGGACGGATGGAAAGGATATACCCTCGATGAGCTGACGACCTTTGTGAACAGGGGACAATGCATCTAGTGTGTATCTCCTTTTTCCTCTACTCAACTGGATACTAACGAACGTGCCACGCACGTAGCTATGTTACGATGGTATTCATCCAATATGGATCCCTCCTCGCCATCCGTAACAGGCGTGTCTCCATCTTACACTCCAACCCACTCTGGGGTCCCCGTCGAAACCTCCTTGTCCCGGTCGGCATGATCGGTACTGCTCTCATCGCTGTCGTGAACCTGTACGGCCCAGGATTGCAGAAGGTCTTCTCCACGACGCCGATTCCGAGGATGTTCTGGGGTCCGCCGTTTGGATTTGCTTTGGGGATATTGTGTATGGATGAAGTGAGGAAGGCATGCGTGAGAGCTTGGCCGAACGTGAGTGTCCTTTCTCTGTGTTCCCCCCCTTGTGTCGCCTGTGGTCAGGTGAGCTGATGTCTGATATGACATAGTCTTTCATCGCCAAGATGGCGTGGTAACGTCTCTGGATCGGCCTTCGACGCGGACCTATACACTCTTACTGGCGTAGAATAGAAACGAAAGCGAGCGTACTTTTGCTAGCGTTCGACAGGTCGGTCTCTGGTATACGAGAAAACGGTACTCCGCATAATATGGAGGGATGTGATTATTCCATCATCTGTATTAACATATATAGATAGATAAAACTTCGGGGATGAGGGTATATCTATTGCGCAGAGGAACGGGAAGTAACGAAGAGCAAGGCACGAACACTTGCCTTTATTCAGAAAGGTAGTAGACTTTTGTTAAAGTGTTGAAGTGCTTGAAGGGGCTCAGTTGTCGAGTAGACAAGTGAAGAACGAATGCTTGATTCGATGGGGATTGAGGAAGAAATCCCCGAGTTTATATACATGAGTAGGTACGCACGGACCAAGAGCGTAAAAGGAAACTACTACTCAGTATAGTAAAGAATAGTGCAGAAGGTCATGGAATATGACATATGATATGATGTCAGTATGACATCATTTGTGGAGCTGATTGCTAAGGAATGTCATGTGACGAACAACGTGTTGATACACGTGTAAGTCTGGATCAATCTAGACGTCGGAACATATAGTCATATTTCCAACACTCCCCCTCGCTCTAAAATGGTAGGGTAACTAGACCCATTGACGAGCGATTAGTTTCAAATTTTTGCCACGTCAAAGATTTCGTAAGACCGTCTGCTTTTTGTTTGTCAGTTTGAACGTATTCAATACCGAACAAACCATCTTGAACACATTCACGAACGAAGTGCCACTGGACGTCGATATGTTTAGAACGACCGTCCGATACAGGATTCTCAGCAATAAAGCGAGCTCCCATATTATCGCAGTAGAGGATAGTCTTTTCGGTCTTGAGTTTAAGTTCGTCAAATAGCATAGAGAGCCATTTGATTTGACGTGCAGCATCACATAAAGCCATATACTCGGCTTCTGTGGAGGAGAGCGCAATCGTCTTCTGTTTTCTAGAACGCCAAGAAATAAGGGATGATCCGAGGAACATGGTATAACCGGTTGTGGAATGACGAGTGTCTTTATTTGCAGCCCAATCAGAATCTGCGAAGCCATAGATTCGAGATTCAAGTCCCAAATAGTATAAAGCCAATTTTGGAGTAGATGCAATATAGCGAACTATATGCAAGGCTTTATTTCGGTGATCTTCGGTAGGATTTGCCATATATTGTGACATGCGAATAACCGCAAAGGCAATATCGGGACGAGTACCGAGTGCCATATAAAGCAAAGATCCAATGATGGATTGATATTGGGACTGAAGAGAAGATGTGGCTTGATAATCTGCGGGTGCTTTTTCCGGTTGATATCCCGAAGGTAATGGAGTGCGAACATTTCGAGCAGTCTCCATATTAAATCTTTTAATAACCTTTTTGACATACGGGATTTGATCAAGGTAAAGTTCCTTTTTGGATCGATTGCGGTGAATTTGAATGCCAAGGTATTCCTTGACTTCACCAAGATCTCGAGATTCCCATTTCTTCATGAATTGTTCTTTCTTGGCTTTGAGAAGACGTTTGTCCGATCCTAGAAAGAGTCCATCGTCGACATAGACGAGGAAAATGACAATTCCAGCTTTTGAAGTATGGATATAAATTCCAGCATCCACTTTGGAATGAATGTAGCCCATTGCTAATAGAGATTGATGCAGGGCTTTATTCCATGCCAGCGCAGCTTGCTTTAAGCCATATAGGGCTCTAAGCAACCGATAAACCTTGTGTTCTTGACCCGAAACTTTGAATCCTTCTGGTTGCTCCATATAAATTTCTTCATCAAGGTTTCCATATAGGAAAGCGGTTTTAACATCCAGTGCTTCTGTGTCCCAATTTCTTTGGGCAGCGAATGCAAGTAGAATGCGAACAGTTTCGAAGCGAGCCACTGGAGAGAAGGTATCTTCAAAGTCGGTACCGAATTCTTGTGTAAAGCCTTTAGCCACAAGACGAGCTTTATAACGACCATCGCTTTTGATTGCGAAAACCCATCGACACTTGACTGGTTTCCGATCTCTAGGAGGATCCACCAAAGTCCATACTTGTCTTTCTTCAATAGACCTTATTTCGTCTTTCATAGCGTCAAACCATTTCTTTTGCAAATCGGGAGATAACTTTAGCACATCTTTAAAGTGTTCCGGTGATTCTTTTATCCTGGCAGCCAATGCAAACTCAAAAGGATGCATTTCAGGACCTGGCATTTGAACCTGTTGGTCTGGCATGCCTATAGGTGAAGAAGGAGTTTCCGGAAGTGGAGTAAGAGGTGATCCAGGAGATGTAGGAGTAGTTCCTTGTGGATGTTCAGTCCACTGACGAGGAACTTCAGGAGGAATAAGAGCAGGAGGAAGTCTCGGAGAAGGAGGCCTTCGCTCTTCTGCATATCTCCAAATATCTTCTCTAGAATTGCGAGCATGTTGTTCAGCATTACGAATCCACTGTTGTGCTTGATCCCGATTTCTTTGAATATCTCGTTCGATTTCTACTGGGGGTCTGTCTCCATAGAGATTCCCAGGACGAGATACTGGTATAAAACGACGCTTTGGACGAGGTTCTCTGTCATCGGCAGGAGGATGAGCTCTGCGAACATTGCGCGAGTCTCCTTGAATAAACTCAGGTTGATGAGGATGCCTAAGATGACGAGGGTCGACTGGTGGTGCAGCAGCAGGTGCTCTTCTTTGTTGACCTCTATTATTGTGGTCCGGAGGTCTCTGCTGTGGGTTTTGTTGTGGAGGAATATTAGGACGAGGTGGTTGGTGGTGATGAGGCGCCTGTTGGATCTGATCAGGATCTGGAAGTGAATGAAGGCTTTCAGAGTCGGAAGTTTCAGAATTATGGTCATCTTCGGTATCGGGGTCAAAGGTTTCGGATTTTTGTTGACCAGAGCAAAAAGGAAAAGAGTCTTCTACGAATTTTGCAGTATGAGAAAGAATAATCTTTTGTCCATTGAGGAACCGATATCCTTTGGTATTAGGTTCATAGCCTAAAAATACCATTTCGACTGCATGTGGTTCCAATTTATCTTTTCTTTGTTCTTTAGGAACCCATACAAAGGCTTTGCAGCCAAAGGTGCGGAAATAGGTAATGTCCGGGACTTTTCCTAAGAATAGTTCAACCGGAGTCTTGAATATAATCCTCTTGAGAGGAGTTCGATTATACACATGTAGTGCACAGTCGAAAGCGAAGTTCCAGAAGCGTTTTGGAACACAAGCATGGTGTCGAATGGTCCCTGCTTTTTCGGAAATAGTCCGATTAAAGCGTTCAGCACGACCATTTTGCTGTGGCTGGTCGGCAATAGAAAGATAATGGGTAATGCTGCACGAAGAAAGGAGCGCTTTGAAGGTTTGACCCATAAATTCTCCCCCTCGATCCAAACGGAGCGCAAGAAGATGATGTCCAGTAGTATTTTGCACAGACACCAGCCAGTTGGCAAAAGCAGTATAAGTGTCGGATTTGTTGCGAAGGTAGAGACAGAAACCGTAGGACGAAAAATCATCCAAGAGGGTTAGAATATATTTGGACCGAAAGTAAGATTCGACAGGTAATTCCATCAAGTCGGCATGAACCAACTCAAGAGGTTTAGTTGCTCGTTTCCAGGAAGGTTTGAAAGCTTCGGAAGAAAGTTTGCCCTGTGCGCAACCTTTACAAGAAGAAGTCTCCCCCTGTATTTGTATTTCGTTTTTAAGACCTAATCTGCGAATGTGTCGGAGAACTGCATTTGCAGGGTGACACATGCGATTATGCCAAAGAGACTCTTGAGATTCCTTGACCAGAGGGCAAAGGACCCCATAGGCAGTGGTAGGTGGAAGCGGTACGCCCACAAACCAGTGAAGAGGTGAAGTCGGTGAAGCTACTTTTGCTTCAAGAACAATCCGGCCATCTGGTGCTCTGATAGTTTCGCTAGTAAGAGTCGCTGTGCTCCTATACCCGTTATTGAGGAGCGCATTTCGTGAACATAATCTCTTTGAAAAGAGAGGGCTATAAACAACATTATGCAGTGGAAGGTTACTGCCATTTTCAAGGCGAATAACCACTGTTCCTTGACCGAGAAGTTGAACCTTTTTAGTGCCTGCAGTAGAAGCCAAAGGTGGATTTTTGAATTCTCGATAGGTCAGGAAATCAGTTTTGAAAGGAGTCACATGGTGTGAAGCTCCAGAATCCAACATCCATAATGACTCACCCTTTGGAAGGTTCTTTTTGAGATTCGAATATGATGTCACACCAAAAGGGTAACAGTCATAAGAATCGAAAGCATGACCATCGAACTGCATGGGTAAGTACCCAGATGCAGATTCGTTGGGATCATACTCGATGTCTGGATTATGCTTTATACGTATAGGTTTTACAACAGGAAGTTCTGGCACTGATTCGTGAAATTTCATTAAGGACATTGGCTTAGCACGCTTTTTAGCGGCTTTTAATAATACGGATTTGCGGAGAGGTCCTCCGTCTCTACTATTCTGTCCTCGAAGTCGAGGGGAAGAGAGATTAAAAGTCCGTTGTTGCGTCGCAGACGCATTGCCATAGTCCTTTGCATTCCCAGTCTCCACCATGTTCTCGCCAGCCAAAACGGAATTTCCCATTCGTACTGAGGATTCGAAGGAACCACTCTGACATATCCCGTCCTGCTTAGCAGGGGGAAGGGAAATCGTCCTCGGATGAGAGTCCGAGTCGCTCCATTGTTGTGGTTCCGAAAGGGATAGACCCAGTCGGACGCAAGACTTGGCTGTTCGGCGACAGATGGAACATTGGCAGATATTAGAGCCAGGAATATTAACACGAATCGGTACTGACTCAACTTGATCTGGTTGGAAATTCTGAATTTCCTCCAGATACCAAGGAGCGAGATTTCCGGTTGTGACATCAACTGGATAATTGGGGGATTCCCCAATAGCTTCCATCGCCATAGTTAAATCTTGGCGGGACAAATCAGGATCATACATCTCGGTGTCAGTAATGACATGTTGTCCGAGGTATGTATTGAGGTCGGAGGAATAGACTCGTTCAACCGGAGTAGGATCCGGGAGAGAATATTCAGGGGAAGGTTCGCGAGGTGGAACATTTAAAGCAGTGATATCGAAATCATCTGCTTCGAAAGCAGCAGCCACATTATGATAAAATTCTTGACCTTGAGCAGTATACTCAGGTTCGTAAGAATTTTGCCCATAGTAGGAATCTTCAGGAAGTTCCTCTATGTAGGCCGCGTCGATAGTTTCAGCACCTTCGACTTCTAAATTATGGGCTCGGGCTTTGCCCTTGCCTCGGTGACGGTTTTGGCTTCGGCCACGAGAACCAGAACCTGGCTGCGGTGCTTGTTGATAGGGAGTATAATTTCCACGTCCACGTCCACGACCTCCGCGACCTCTTCCGCGACCTCCACGGTAACCGCGAAAGGATCCTGATCCTGATCCAGACTGATGATCAGAAGTATTATGTGCACCTCTGCAGACTTGGCAAAGAGGCGGCTTATTCATGCGTGCCAGGAGAGAATTGGATTCTTGTTTGACTGTGGTTGATGACGACCCAGCCTTTTCCTGTTGAGGAAGCATAGATTTGCCCAATTTATGGGCCCAGACTTCTTTCATTCGAGGTATGACAGTATCAGGGGAAAGTTGATCGGCGGCAATAGAAGAAAGGATATTGACCAGAGCCTGTTCCCAGGCTTGAGTCATCGAATGGACTAAAATTAGCGCTTTCATTTTGTCATTAAGGGCAATGCCCTGAGCGCTGATTGCGGAAATGAGCATAGTAATCTCCGCAATCTTCTGCATGATGTCATCCTTTGGTTTGATCTGGATGCGGATGAGCCGTTGGAACTCCATGAAAGTAGTCATGGCGGAAGGAGCTCCATATGCAGATTTAAGAGCTTCCCATTTGAGATGAGAAGTCGCGTGTCCATCGATTGACATTGCGATCATTGGATCGCAGTACAAGGTCAAAATACCCTGAGCACGGGTATCAGAAGTTACCCAAGCAGGGAGAGTAGGGTCTCCAGCTGCGGGTTGTGCAATTGTGCCATCAACAACTCCCATGATTCCAAGAGTTTGCATATAGGCTTTCATGAGAACCGACCAAGAGGCCCAGTTAAGACCATTGAGTTTTGGGATTTGCTTAGAGAGACCTTCGGACATCTAATGTCACAGGTCCATAAGCAAATGTTCGTAAAGATACGAATAAATGGGATGAGTCGAAAAGGATGGAGGATTTAATTCATGACTGCGTGTCTTGATTCTCCGAGCAGATGCTCTAGCTTGTTGAGATTTGCGGCGTATACGTGTACAATTGTTTTTGTAGTAAGGACGAGGATTTCGTCTTTTCTCCATTTTATTTTTCGGTGCCTGTGTGCCTTTCTCAGCGAATCTCCAAGAGGAGATGCGAGAATTATTTCGCTCAAGACTTAAAAAGTCTAGCGGAGCAAAATAATGGTATGCCATGAAACTCCAATTACAGTCATGTAAAGGGATTCCATCAGCAGTGAATCCTAAGTAAGGATCCACACACGAATAAGGGACAGCAAGGCAATCCGAATGACGAAAATGTTTGTCCTTTACTAAAATTTCAAAAACATTGTAAGATTCATACAAGGTACACGTATTAGTTGCCGAATGGTTTCGGCCACCTGATGCGTACGGTGCGTCCAGCAAATTTGGAAGAGGATAGTTTTTGGCAAATGGCGCGAGCTTCGCGAGCTCTGCTAAGAGCTGTGGTGCAAATTCCGCGAGGTCGGGGAGCTGCGAGATAGTCATAAGTAGAGTCGTCCATGACACGTTCGAGATCGCGTAAAATCTCTTCTGTTCCAGGCCAGTAAGCGAAGTCAGTGTCAGCGGGAGCGTAACCCCACTGAAGATGCCGGTTAGAAGAGTTGTATCGCAGGGAAGTTCCCACATCTGCTTCATCCCTATACCGTCGTATAAACCTAAAGAGACCGCTATCAAAGCGGTCTTCTCCGCGTCGTCGTTCACGGTACCACCTTGGGATACATCGGACATCCGTTGATCCGTCATCCCAAGCTCCTCGGAAATGGAATTCAAGATGCTTGTTCCAAACGCAGAGAGGAGGGATGAGGCCGTTGAAACACGGATCGTAGAGGGGATGGACGTTGTAATAGACATAGACGAATGTATCATGGGTGACAGTGAACGCGGGAACAGAGTAGAGGGCAGGATCTTCATAGTAGGCACTGGGAAGATCGCAACCGTTGAAGTTAGCTATAGCGTGCGGAGACGACGTATGGGAAAGTTTAGGGAAGAAGTCGGTTAAGTAGCCGTGGTAGGCAAGGTGGATCCCTGGATAGAGATATGGCGATTCGAACCCGGGAAAGTGGGGCATTACCTGCCACGCTGTTTCCACGGTGTCAACAGGAACGAGATAGGTCGCAGGATTTGGTTTCTTGAAGAACCCGACGCTCGACGGAACAGCCTCTCTCCAACTGGCGCAATCCTGTACATATAACATCTCAATGTACTCTATGATCTCTTTCACCGCATACTTCCTCCATTTCACCTCATACATCCCGTCTCTTTGCTCAGCGATGGCGAGCTCGAGTTTCTTTGCGACGACGAGAGACATCTTTTTAAATAGTTAGACCGGTTCTGCGACAAAGCAAACGAGAGTTAAAGCAAATCGAACTCAGCGATGTCTTCGACAGCGAGAACGACAGCTGGATTAACCAACTCGTTGACAGCCGCAACTTCCTCAGGAAGAGGAGTCGGTGCACGTCGAGGAGAAGGCAGGTTACGCGCTTCAAACTCGTCGTACGGCGGAACCGGGTCAAGATCAGCGTCGTAATCGATGTCGGGAAGGTGAAAATGTAAATAATGAGGAGGAGGAGTCGGTGGACGAAGAACAAGGCGCTGTAGAAGCAGCCTGCGGAGTATCTGCTGTTCAAGCAGCAACTGCCACCTTCGCCACCAGGCGGAGAGACCTAGAAAGGAGAACCAGAAAGCTACGGAGCGAATAGCAAGCTCCCGTAGATAAGCAGGGTCATGTCCACCATAATGAAGTATTAAAACGGCCTGATTAAGGCCTGCCACAACAGCGACAGCGAAAACTACTACTACCGATCCTAGCGCGTCTAGGCCTACGATATCCATAGTGATATGCCTGTCGGCAGTGATCGCTCTATGCAAATACCGCAAATAGCTTGCCACCTAGTTATAGGCGGGGCTCATAACCTATTGCGCAGAGGAACGGGAAGTAACGAAGAGCAAGGCACGAACACTTGCCTTTATTCAGAAAGGTAGTAGACTTTTGTTAAAGTGTTGAAGTGCTTGAAGGGGCTCAGTTGTCGAGTAGACAAGTGAAGAACGAATGCTTGATTCGATGGGGATTGAGGAAGAAATCCCCGAGTTTATATACATGAGTAGGTACGCACGGACCAAGAGCGTAAAAGGAAACTACTACTCAGTATAGTAAAGAATAGTGCAGAAGGTCATGGAATATGATGTATGATATGATGTCAGTATGACATCATTTGTGGAGCTGATTGCTAAGGAATGTCATGTGACGAACAACGTGTTGATACACGTGTAAGTCTGGATCAATCTAGACGTCGGAACATATAGTCATATTTCCAACAATATCATTAATGTCTTTTGATGACTGTTGGAGATTGATAACTGTGTCGCATTTTTGGTGCGATGTTGGGTGCTTACGTAATCACCTTGGAGTGTACACTTTGTACACTTCTCTCCTAGTTCCCTCAGTAGGGTTGTTCATTACTGAGGGTAAGACTACCATTCTGTACCAGTGTTCTACTTACTGACAACCTGTACAGGTTTCAATAGACTGGACAGACATCCTGATCTTCCGCTGCTCATTACTGTGCAGCTGTGGTGCCTGTTTTCTGAGATGTAACTTCGTTACCAATTAAAGTTGCATTTAGTCAGTGTCAACATGTCCAGATCAGCGAGTAGCGAGGGATGGTCGATCCTCAGCATTATGGGAACTATGTAAGCGGACGAACGCAAATTACTTCATCATACCAACTGATCGCCGGAGAAGAGATAAGTTGAAGTGCACAATGTTAATGTCGTTGAATGGGAGCCATTCTGCTGACATTAAAGAAGGTGCGTGTGGTTGAATGTTAGTAAGCTACCGACCAAGCACAGACACTAGTAGGAGGGTTGGTTCTTTTAAATCCATGCACGTTACTCTATATTATTGTAGATACTCAGCTACATCGTATGGGTTCCCAAGGCATGATAGAATCAGCAACAACGGAGGATGAATTGGGAAGTGCTGATGAAATGTCCCGTAGCCGAAAGTCGTGCAGTGATTGAGGGGATATTGTCGATGGTGATACGTTGAGAGGGCAGCTATTCACCGGGAAAGAAGGTGGCACAGTGTGAACCCATGTGCCAGCGGGAGGACCAGCACGCGAGTCCAAAGATGGTCTGGCTTGTTGATTTGGAAGATTGGTCGTCCCAGTGAGTGCCGTGCTATAAGCAATACTTGAATATCTATGTCATCCACAGACCGGGTTTATAACTTACATGACAAAATGGTCGAGGTCGCTAATTCTTTGATTAAGTGCACAGCTCGTTGCACCAATCCGATGGTTACTTGAATGGCTTAGCACTTCTGCTACTTTTCTCAGCCAAAGAGAGAGCTCTAGTACTGGGGTATAGTACGTAGTTTCGTTAAGACAGCCACAGTGGCTGTCGGAGATCCGGGAGGAATTATTTGGTTTTGAAACGTGGGAGTCACTGTAATGTCGCCCATCTAATCCCAGACTGACATCGCAACTCACCAAACCAGGGTACGATGTAAAGATGGAGGCTAAATCTGAGTCGCCGGACGGTTGGTGCTCACCGCTGACTGCGGCGTGTGACTGGGTGTGCTCATCCATCGGAATCATGATGAGTGAAGACGGAGGACCGAATGGCAAACCAAGACCAAAATTCAAGACAGTGTCATCCAGGCATTCCCCTTGAGGAAACACAAAACCATCTTTCTGGAATGGGAATTCTCTTGGAAAAGGCCCCTGCTTCGGCTCAGTCGTTTCCTGCTCAGTCGTATCTGATCTTTGACAAGACTGCGTCTGCGGACTTGCGGATGGTGGGTCGGACAGAGCCCGCGTGTGCCGCTTCTCGGATTCTTCGCTCACGGTGGAACCGCTCTGCGCCCAGCGAGGGTGGGGCTTATTTTTCAGCTGAGCACAGGTATTCAGTACCTTTTACAAGTGCCAATGAAAGGGCACGCACCTCACGGATGACAGCCTCAAGTTCAGCAACCCGTTTGCGGAGCTGGGAGCTTTCGTCTTGAGCATCGCTTCGTCGACTTGGGTCGTCAACCTCGTAGACACATAACCCTGTCTAATAGAAGGATAATCCACATCATTTCGAAGCGAATCAAATTGAAGCGTACGAGACCCAGCTGTGTGCAGCGACCGCAGGGGCGTTTCCGGTCACACTGAAGACAGTTAATCAAGCCATAATGCACCAGGCCATCACGGAAATGCACACCATGCGCTTGGACGTATGACAATTTAGACAAGACTGCGTGGTGCGGTTTCGGCGACGTTTGCGATGGTCCCCCTCGGGGCGAGATGAGGTGGTGTCTAAAGCACTCCGCTTCTTCCGTGTACCTTTAAATTCCATAGGCATGGTAGAAGGGGAAAGGTTGTTACGATTCAGGGGGAAAAGCGGCGACGAAGACATATATATATATATATCCAACCAGTCGACCCAACCATTGCGTTGAGCTCTCAGAATATAGCCACGCTAAAGGAAAAAGTAGGGAAAAAAAACAGTTAATTTTAGTCAGAGAACGAAGGGGAAGAGTGTGCTGAACTCGCCACTGACAAGTTCCCATCGCAGGTGACTAATAGTCTCGATATCATTTGAGTGCAAAGCAGTGGCTCGGCTGCGACGAGTGCTGGGAACCGTAACTGCCGTAATGGACGTGGACTCAAACTTCTGCCTGTTCTGGCCTGGGATCAATCGATCAATCGATCAACGTTGTCATCCCCTTCGGAATAACCTGCATGGAAACCGAGGTGCGTTATGTGAAGTCACAGTATATAAAGCTCAATATAATTGCGAGGACTGCAGTGGTCCGGCCGGAGCCACTCGCCTTCTGACATCCGGAATTGATTGGAAGGAGACTTCCTTAGGCAAGAGTCCTCAAGATTCAGTGAATCATGTTCATCGTAAGCTTTGTGATTATTTGTAGGTAGGTGCATGCAGGGTCGATCTCACAGTCACCACAGCTGTTCACAGGTACTACGACGCCATGTTGGCTAATAAATATATTCGCCACCACGCCTTGGTCTCCTCAAATTGGCATATCTCAACTGAGAGATGTTTAATTCCGCCCCTCCGCGGATCACTTATCCCGCAACCCCTATTTATTGGAGTTCCCAGTTGTTCCCAGTACCGCAGATGCGTGCACACCACACTGAGGCGGTCGCGGCCCACCCACCGCTCAAGCCTATGTGGCGTGTGGCTCGGTAGCAGCGGTCCTGGCCTAACTTTACATAAGTAGCGTACTTGGCAATACAGGACCATCCTTTTCTTTGTCTGTTGAATCTAAGTCCTTCATGTAATAAACAATGCTACTGTGGATCTAATATCTGATACTTCTGCTGTGTGATTAGTATCTCCTGCACTCTAGTAAATAAGTCGGACCTCGTTTAAGTGTCGACTCCCGAATGTGAGAAAGCGGGGAAGGGGAGAATTGAACCGACTAGTTCCTTATGTGTCTGGGACAGGTGAGAAACGAGATGGGGATCGAAAGACAGAAAATACCAGTGTAAACGGAGGGCTATCATCTTACCATCTGATGCCTGAAACTCATTATCACCGTCCTCGCAGGGTCGTCAAGGTGGCAAAGCCTCCATAAGTTGCCATCGGAGACACCTGTCCGAATGCTATCAGAGTTATAGCCTTCCGCTAGAGGAATTAGGGGCGTCAGTCCAAACTTGGGTGCCATATCTATCATGTACGTGGCAGCAAGTACTCATTGTAATCCATGGATTCTACTTACGGTATTAGGTAAAGTCTGAGGACGAAACAGGCACTTAGCATCTGGGAAGATTTAGATACGCCCCCTCGTTATCGATATCAGAGTCTAGTCAGTGTCCACTGTCACTTTTCCTCGCCCGCCTTCGAATTTTGAGTTCAGTTTTTTGCCCACTTGATACCGCAATCTATCACCGCCGACTAAGAGTACAGTGGTAGCTTACTGTCTGTCAGACACAAGAGTAACTAATATTGCGCAGTGACACGCATCCCACGCAAATAGTGGCTATGACGACCTGTTGATCACGATGCGGCCAGGACCAATCAAATCCGTCACGTCGCTCTCATCCAAGTGGTGCACTCCTCACTAGCGACGAAGTCCATTTCATTCTGATGACGAGTGGTTTCTTCCTCAGTCATATCTCGTTCGGTCTTCTGTTGTTTGTTCACGTAGCTTGCGACCCCATGTTGATAGTCATATTTGTTCATTGTTACGGTGCGCACTAAGAGACGGCGCTGCTCGGTGCGTACGGCGGTCGGTCCGCCCTGGCATGGAGCAAGACAGCCGGTGCTGGAATAAACCCCTTTCAACCGAATGAACACCGTTATTTGAAAATTAAGTTGCCAGTGTTCGACAGGATCTCCGAGTGGCCAAGAGATTTGAATGAGGGCGCCACTAGCGAGTAAGAGGTGAACGTTCTATTCAGCAACATAAGGCAAAGGAGCGACTTACAGAGAATGTCTGTGGCTCACCCACCTCCGCCATTGAATGGACATTGACTACCGTAGCTTTATTGTGAAGGAATGCAGACCCCGCACCTACACGAGTATGGCGTGAGTGGCGGTGGAACCCATTGGACACGAGAAGAAAGCCGAGAAGGAGGTAAGCGTTAGAGAGCATCAGTTTAGCCTAGGTCGAACCGTCGTCACGATGGGACGGGAGCCACGATCACATCAACACGAATACGGAGAGTAAAGAACAGTCCGGACGGGTGGAGACACGTGCTTTCTTACTAAACCATGCCCTTGCTCGGAAGGGGGGCGCGACCGTAGTGACAAGGTCGAGACTCCTCCCTGGACACCGGATACGGACCGCGGAATTTTAAGATGAAGATATGAGAGGTCGTGATATCTTCGAAGGGCGACTCTGTGGGTTGGACTCGCCAACGCATGTGTGCCCGCTCTGTGAGTGGACGATGTAGTGGGAAGAGGAACTGTCCTTCGGTCACATACCTGGAATACTCAGCGGTCCACCTCAATCACAAAAAGAATCGTGCCACTGCCAAACCAAACCTCGATCACTTTGATCTTGCAATGGCAGGACTTCCGATACGTGTAACTTCTCGCACAGCAGGTCACGACGTAACTAGTTAGAGCCACCAGATCCAATCTTGCCTGCTGGGCGACCGACGCCCAGGCCAGCTGGCCGTCCGGGCAGCCACACGTGGGAATTTATCCGAGTCTCGTTGCCCCTCCCCATTTTATCGTGACCACCATTAGTAGAATGAGTGCGAAATTATCGCATTGAAATGGACAATGCAGGGTTTCCCTCATAACAACGGCATCCCACCAATTGGGCGTGATCACATGTAACTACCCATTTACGCACCCCAACTGTGTCGCTAATACGCTAATCATTTCACCTCACTGCTTGTGTGTAAAACGCAGCCAGTGGAGCAAAAAGCTATCCAGCGCAGGCTCGAGAGGACGTCTAGGAGAAGCGAGGATAACTTATTTTCATCGACCGATGGACGCTGAACACCGTGGGGGGGGCTCGTGATTGGGATCGAGGCATCGCCGATCAGCGAAGTAGCGGCGGGGCAGCCGGGCCGGGTGTAACTGTGTCGCACAAGCTCCGACTGAAGCAGCCGGTATTTTCGCCTGAATGGCGAAAACTGCTCAGGAGTCTGAGCCGAAGGGCCTATAGACAAGGCGTGACGTTCTGTCAGGGTGCCGCCCGATAAAAGCCCCCAGCATCATATCATGCCAGAGCAGCACCTGTGGAACACAACGAACCGATGGCAAGCGGGGTAGGACTCCCTACGACTAACACCAGAACATCCGGTAGAATAGGCCAATATGGTCTTCAGATAGGGTCAGTCTATTTCTCTGTTTCCGTATATGTAACCGAGAAGCAACAACGCACATCTTTTCTTCAGATACCGAACCCTATCCGTTCGTGTAGAAGAAAGGGATCTTCCTGCGAAGCCCAAACCAAGTGCCGATCCGGCGGACGCGATCGCCGCCATCGACGTACACCTCATTGATGTTGAGGATGTCTGCACACGCTACTCTACCCATCCCACTCGTGGCCTCGAAGACGCCGCTGTCCAACGCAAGGCTAAGGAAGGGAAGAATGTGATCAGCTCGCCACCAACTCAATACTGGAAAAAGGCATTCAACTATGTCTTTGGGGGATTTAACTTTCTCATGTGGATCGCCTTCATTTTGACATTAGTAAGTGCATACTTCACTAGATTGGACCGGGTCTAAAGTCACTTGCACAGCTCTCCTACCAACCTCTGGGCGAGCCAAGTCCTCAACCCTTTGTCCTCGGCGTTGCTATCCTACTAGTGAGCGCCTCTTACTCGAGCCAGCTTCGGTTGAGTTGATGTGTTTACGCAGATTTTTGTCATTGCCATTTCCGCTACGTTTTACGCGTTAGTTGACTGGAATGCTAGTCGAATCATGCGGTCCATCAAAACGCTCATCGCAGAACACGCGTGTGTTATCAGAGACGGACAGCAACAGCTCATACCGGCCGCTGACATCGTCGTCGGAGATGTTGTCGTTCTCAATAGTGGCGATCGAGTACCAGCGGATCTGAGGATAGTGCAAGCCTCATCTGACTTGCGCTTTGACCGCTCACTCCTTACAGGCGAGAGGTGCGCTCTTGTAGATGTGAAAGCTGCAGAAATTCTCATCATTCCCGTAGCGAGATGATCCCTGGTGCGCTGGACGCGACATCTAAGAATGCGTTGGAGACCCGTAACCTTGCTTTGAACTCCACATTCGTTACCCAGGGCAATTGTACCGGTGTCGTTTTCGCCACTGGAGATCGCAGTGTTATGGGTCGCCTAGTATCCATGTCAGGCGAGAAGCAGTTCAAGCTGACAACCATCCAAAGAGAAGTGTGGTTCTTTACAAAGATTATTTCCTGCTTGGCGCTCTTCTTCTTTGGTCTTTCTCTGCTCTTATACGGGGTGTGGTTGAGGACGACATATCCTGGGTACGATACGACAAGTACAGCGATTGTCAATTCCATTGGGTGCCTCACGGCCTTCGTTCCACAGGTCAGCTAATCTCACTGGCGCACTCGCTTCTAACGTGGTGGCGTCAATTACAGGGCTTGCCTATATGCGTTGCACTTTCCCTCACGGTTATCGCGCGTCGCATGGCGAAGAGGCAGGTTTTGGTGAAGAACCTGGCTACCGTCGAAACTCTCGGCTGCATGTCTGTCCTCTGCTCAGACAAAACGGGTACCTTGACCGCTGGGAGGATGGTAAAAGATGTTGGCCAGCTGTATCTACTTTCCGCTGAATATGTCCTAGGTTGTGCAAAACATTGCCTTCCTGAATCATCATTGTTCAGTGAAGGTTCTACTCGAGAAGCTTGCTGAATCATCAACCCCAGCTGACTTCGCCGCTCTCAAAGTTGTCCATCAGATTGCTCGGTTGTGCAACGCGGCAAAGTTTGACGCTGCTGTGATGGATTGCCCGATAGAAGAACGCGCCATCAAGGGTGACCCAACCGACACGGCTCTCCTCCGATTCTCTGAAGGGTTGTCGGTTCCCTCGCTTGATATCGACACTAGTAGTTTACTGAAGGCGTGGGAGAGGCGTTTTGAGATTTCATTTAACTCGCGTAACAAGTGGGCCATGACTGTGGTTGAGGATAATAATTCCTCCGGGTCGGTGTGGATGCTTGTCAAGGGAGCACCAGATGTCCTTTTCCCATACTGCCAGGACATCTTACAAGGAGACGGCACGTCGGTGCCTCTGGGCGATAGCGAACGGGAACAACTTTCTGCTTTGCAGAACAAGTGGTCAAGTGAAGGACAGCGTGTCCTTGCATTGTGAGCCATTCGTATGGGAAGTGTTTACCATTCATTTAGCCATCCAACCGTAGGTGCCGTAGGTCTTTGGACGGCATCAAGCTTGATTTACCCCCGAATACGATGGAAGAGTTGTTGTATTCGGAACTCCGAGACTTGACACTTGTCAGTCTCATTGGCATCCGCGATCTTCCCCGTGATGACGTACCGTCTTCGATTGAGACCATCAGAAAGGCCGGTGTTAGGGTGTTCATGGTCACTGGTGATTTCAAGTTAACGGCAGTGGCAATTTCCCGTCAGGCAAGTACACACCAATCACCTGCACTCCAAGAGGTGGCAATGATGTTTAGGTCGGAATCATATCTCAAGAACGTATCAACACGATCGCAGACATTAGAATGGCGGCATCGGAAAAAGTACCTACTCGGACTCGGCACGAGATCAAACCTCGTGACGACGACCCCATACGCGCTCTAGTTCTTACTGGCGAAGATGTCTCATCGTTGACGTCAGCGGATTGGGACGTTGTCGTCGGGTCGTACATGGAGGTGGTATTTGCTCGTACAACCCCGGATCAGAAGATGAAAATCGTGCAAGAGATCAAGTGTCGGGGTGACAACACGGTCGCTGTCACTGGCGACGGGATTAATGACGTGCCTGCATTGAAGGCGGCAGATATTGGCGTGGCAATGGGTGCAGGAAGCGATGTTGCCAAGGAAGCAGGTACTGTCATGGGGCTGGAGGCAGAGCGTCCACTCATATCTTTAATCCCTAGCTGCGCTCATTTTATTGAAGAATGATTTCGCATCTATTCCTGTTGCAATTGAAATGGGTCGCCTTGTATTCGATAACTTGAGGAAAGTCTCCCTGTACTTGTTGCCGGTACGTGCATCTCTTCGGTGTTCTGCTGAAATACGTGTAGATGATAGGATAAACCAGGCAGGAAGTTATACAGAATTCATGGCCGTCTTCTCCAACGTACTTTTAGGCATGCAAATTCCGATGACTACTTACCAACAAGTCTGTTTCTGCATTGCTAACGATGTTGTAATGTCGATATCTCTGATGTATGAAAAGGCGGAATCGGGTATGCTATGCGCCGCTATTTATGCTTGACTCCTGCTCTTACCTGAACTAGATCTGATGTTGCGAAAGCCTAGAAATGCCAGGAAAGACCGCTTGACGGATTGGAGGCTCTTCCTTCAAGTCTACCTTGTAAGTGGTGTAGGGCAGCCGAAGGACTATATGTCTGATACTGCGGTAGTTCATCGGATTGATGTTGTGGCCGTCTGCCATGGGAATGTGGTTCTTGTACATGAGCCGACAAGGGCTTGGTTTCTACGATGTTATCCTCGTTTATAATAAATGGCAAGACGGATGGAAAGGTTACTCGCAAGATCAGCTGAATCACTTCGTTAATGTGGGTCAGTGCATATAGTATGTATCATCGCGTTTTGCCATATTTCCGTTGATGCCTCACCACCTGGTAGCTATGTGACGCTTGTGTTCGGACAATATGGAGGACTGCTTGCCGTGCGGAATCGGCGGGTGTCGATATTGCATTCTAACCCATTCTGGGGACCGCGGAAGAACCTGATCGTCCCGTGCGGTATGATCGCCACAGCATTGATTGCTGTGGTTAACCTATATGGCCCTGGAATCCAACACGTCTTTGGAACGACGCCTATCCCTGGAATGTATTGGGGATTGGCATTCTGTTTCCCGTTGATTATTCTCATCATGGACGAACTGAGGAAGTTACTTGTGAGAACGTATCCAAAGGTGAGTCTAGATTTTCGGTGAATGATTGGGAAATTCTCATTTGCTTCATTCGGGAAGTCATTCGTCGCCTATATTGCTTGGTAATTGAGGGTCGTTTGGAAGGTAGAAATCAGGATGATAGTATCGAAACTCTTCTCGAAGAGAGTCACTGCAGCGTGGCTGTGTCATTAATGCAGTACGAACCATTTGTATTCTACAGGAGCTTTAGGAAATTTAACAGGAGACGTAAGATACTTGTCGTTCGTAGGTCAATCCAGGTCAGTCCATCCCTACCTACGGAGAGAACTTGGGGATACACCCGCTGCATCTCGTTTTCCAATGGACGTTGCACTGTTGAAAAACGCACTCCGCCACCTGAGACATGTTGAGGATCAAACGTGTGTTAGAAAAAGCAGTACACATACCTCGGCCCTTTAAATTTTCCATCCGATAGCATAGCAAGTCTTATCCAGCCTCAGTCATCACGCGTCACCTTGGTCGGTGAGTCCTGGATATCCGATGGAACTGACTAAAGGAATAACATAAGCGTGCGCGCAATGATGTCTACGGTGCTAAGTCAGGACGTGTACTCTGCCAGACTTTATCAGTGTCAAGAGAGCTAGGCTTAATGTTGTTTTTTGAGACTCGGGATTAATCTGAACTTGTAGCACTCTCATGCTCAACAGCCCAATACCTATATAGGAATGGTATCTTAATACATGACGAGGGGAATACAGGTTGCATATCTGTATGAAGGATGGATGGCAGATTATGAGGGGTTCAGACAATGTAAGAGGAAGTTCCAGAACTAAAGAATGATATCCAAACCTAAGGAGAAAACATGTCTCGGATATCATATTGATGACAATGTCGTCACGGAACCAATAAAGAACGTATCTTGCTCATCGTCGAGCGACACGTTTGCGTTCTCGTCCATCCTCTTCTACCTCCATTGAGTCGGTCGACGTGGTATGAGCCTGTCCCTGAACGTGATGTGCGGACCTCTGGCTCCTCGTGCGTCGTCGAGGATTTCCTTGTGTGGACGACACTGTGTTCGCTCCCGCAGAAGACGAAGAGACGTCCACAACGGTGGGTGGTGCTGCAGAATCAAGCATCATCATGACCGTATGTCGGCGTTTTGTGCCTGCTGCGATATCGCCTTGGGGGATAGATGGAAATGGCGGGTGCATAGATGGGAATATGGGTGTGCGGGGAACATTCTCAGAAGAGGCCAATGGTGTGGGAAGGCAAGACATCGATGGAGTGTCAATGGAGATATCTTTACGAGCAGAGGATGGGCGGGATTTAACGGATCGTTGGAAAAGAGGGTTGGACCGGGTTGGAATGGAAGGTGAGGGCGTGATTGGGTGTGTCAGATTGGAAATGGACGGTGAATGCGGTGTAAGCGGTGTTGGTGCGCTCTAAAGGGCATGTCAGTTGGCGAGACGTGAAATCGACAAGGAGCCCACCGTTAGATCGGAAGGTTTAGAGGAGGAGGCGGTAGGATGGGGAGGGAAGGAGACAGAGGCATTGTTGGCGTCTTTGTTCGGATCTGTTCGAGAGGTCTGGGATCCCGCTCTGGTACGGTCCCTCTCCTTTTCACGTTCTTCGTCTTCGTCCTCCTCTTCTTCCCTAGCCTTGATTGCTTCCACTCTGGCTTCTATCCAATCCAGGATACGGCCGATAGACATTTCACCGCTGAGCGGGTTGTCTGAAGTGGAGGGTGCGATGCCACCGACCGAGACGCCTTGCTGGATCATCACCATAAGATCCTGGCATGCAGCTGCATACCCAGCGTTGTAAGCACGCTTAGAAGCATTTCGAGAGGATCGGTAAAGCGTGGTGATGCTGAGCGCGGCAGCTAGAGGGAGTGGGTGGGATGTCAGTAAATGGCAACGGCAAGACAGAACATGAACACACCTTTAAAGTTGTTGAGAAGGTCTTTTTCTGCCTTCTCGAGGCCTGAACCTGGAAGTGACTTTGCGAGCCCGTCGAGCGATTCCATGATTTGATTGGGTCTCGTCGTTGGTCGTCGTTGCAGACAGCCGCTCACTGCGTGTTGTCGATATTACGAGAGATTGTTTTTCGAGCCAAAGTGGGACTGTTTTGGTAAGCTTGTGACAAATGGCAAATCACGTCACGTGATATAGTACGGTAGCAGTGACATCATCGAAGTTTCGACGAGTGAGACGACGACCTCACTGTCGAAATCGACACTGCTCAGCTGATCCGGACGTGTTATAACAAATACTCAGAGTGCTGCATCCACAGAAGAAATGTGTGTCGTCATAATCTAATAGTATATACGGATGGTGCATCATTCAATAACGGGAGGTACGCTCATCCCTGTGGATGGGGGAAGAGGATGAGTCAGCGCACTGAACTGCTCGCTGCACTACACGGTCTGAAGAAAGTATGCGATGAAGACGAAAGCTACCTAGCGGACCGGCGCAGGAAACGGGGCTCGCATTCACAACAGCCAGAGTTCATCATCACCACGGATATATGGTAAAGGGGATGACGGAGTGGCTTCCTACCTGGAAGGTTCGTACTCTTTGGCGCGTGCACTGCCGCTCGCACTGCAGGTGACGGAGTTAAGCTTACTATCCAGACCTGACACTGTTGGTTGGCGGTCACAGCGCATTAGCAAGATTGGTGGGTGCTTAGAGAGGCATGCTAATCACGCGAGTCGAGTCTTGGAGTTGCACTTTTTTTCTTTCAGATGGATGGGACAAGATCGGAACCTGGTAAGATTCTTGTGTTGAGAAAAACTGCGTCACCTCCACCTGCCAGTGATGGTGCTGGTGCTAGTTTTGGTTCTGGCATTGATATCCTTGGATCACCTAGTACAAAGCCGCAGGAGGATTCACTCAGTTCTGAACCCGTGGCCGATATAGATGTGTCTGCATCCTGTTTAGGATGCTTTACAGATTTTATCTGAGATCGATGGACAGTTTGGGGTGTGTTTTTTGTGTATTTGGTACGCGGTCTGGGTGACTTGCCTTGGCCATAACCTATTCGGATGTGGCGATGCCACTAAACAAGGCGCGCGACTTTGGGCGAGGCGGGCCTCTGTGCTGAATTATTATTAGCATGCTGGTTAGAACTTACTGCTTTTGCAGGTCTACGCGGCGGCACCGTGAGCGGACCGGTGCACAAAAGCACGTAAGATGCCTCAGCAGAGAACCAGCTGTTAAGTACCACCGATTCCTCAGTTGAACATACAGATTCATTCACCCGCATTCGTGAATCGGACCTGTAGTCATTCCACTACAGGTTTGACTCACGAAAGTCAGTTCC